AAAAATCACGGCGTTGATTGACAGCCGGGCAAGAGTGGGCGGGGCTCGTCCGCAAGAGGGGGGGGGGCTTCGTCCACATCTGCGTGTGAAGGGTGGGGGGGACGTACATCTGGACTGTACTTTGGCCTGGGGGCAGCGCGCGTGGCCGTGCGCACAGCTGGGTTTTTGGCCTCAGCCTGTGGATGGACAGTGAGATGAACATCTGGGTCCTGGGCTGGGCAGCTGGGTCTGGGCAACAGGCCGGATGAGCTCCAGGTGTGGACCCTGCATTTAGGAGACAGCTGCCCAGTAAAAATATATGAGCACTGAAAGCAGCATCTGGGGGCCGCTGGACCCGGCATTTAGGAAACAGCTGTCCAGTAAAAGTATATGAGCTTCAAAATCAGCAGCTGGGGGCTGCTGGACCCAGCATTTAGGAGACGGCTGCCTAGTAAAAGTATACGAGCACCAAAATCACCAGCTGGGAGCCGCTGAGTGTCCAAACCCTGCATTCAGGGGACAGCTGCCGAGCAGAAGCATAGCTCGAAGAACAGGTGGATGTTGATGGTGGTGCAGATGTGCACCTAGATCAGGGGTTCGCAACGTTTAGGTGCCCAAGGTGCCCACATCTGAATTGAAAAGAAAAAGCAGCGGGTGGCAATAGGAATATTAAAGTTCCAAATGTAGATCAATCCGATCATCTCATCCATTACTTAAAATTGCATTTGATCCGCAACTTCAAAATGCAGCTTCCCTTTACTCTGTATTCTTCTGAAGTTTTATCCACCGCTTTGGGAACCACTGACTTACTAGACACCAACACCTGCACCTGTGTAAATGGTCAGGTGGGGAACCTTGATTTGGAAGAGCACCTGGCTGAACAAATGTCAGCGCATCACTACCAACCCTGCCGCGTGCTTCCAAGTCTGTTGTTTTACACAGGGCTCCTTGAAAGTCATGTGACAATAGGAAATATTTATGGAGCACTTTTCATTCCAAGGGATCCCAACATATGCTACAGCAAACATAGGCCAGCTTGATTAAGTTACGAAAGGGAATATATGACATGGTCGCAAGTGATAGTACCACAGATCTGAGGGCCCAGGAACATCCTTCTAGCTCTAGGTTGTTGCAGATGGCCTCCCCTATTTCTGATATGAACCCACCACTGAAGAGATCTTTTTTATTTGTTAAGAGAGTTTTTTCCAGTTTATAGAAAGATTTTAAAGTAATCAGCACCCCACTCAAACCACCAGGGACCTAACTTGGAAAAACACACCTAGCTTGCTAAAAAAAGTAAAGGAGACACAGTGTCTGTTTCTCTGAGGTCCAGAACAGCGATTTGAATTACACTGCTCCATTAAAGAAGTGAAAAGTACAACAAGGGCTTTCACTAAGTCTAAATATACCGACAAACTCTACAAATGCATATGGCCACACTGGTAAAAGGAAGTTACAACACATGCTTGAACAACAGGCATCTTTTAAAGGAAAGCACCGGGACAACCACTACAGGAGCTATGATCTGACTCTACCACCTGCCTGGTTCAGATATTGCCGGTCAAATTAAGCATTACAGGGACAGAGAAACAATGCTGCAGGTAAAAAAACCTCAGCTGCTTAGAGTATCATTGCGTGGATATCCTGGAAATAAGAAACCTTGCAAAAGGCATTAATGAATACTTCCCTTCTGAATATTCAACAGGCAATGTACAGATCAGCATGAAAAGGTCCTCAAACAGTTACTCTGAGCAATCGACTCCCAGGCATAGTGCAAGAGTGGGTGGATGAAATTAAACAGGAACAGGCTTAAAATTTCTTGGAAACCTGGCGTCAGCCACAGCAGGGAGCAGAGAGCTTCATTCCATTATAAATCAACCG